CACTGCAGACGCTGAGTCCACACTTCTGCACTGCACCTCCTGCCCAACGGTCCGCAGTTGTTCCTCCACGGCCTCTTGCAGGGGGGGGGCGCAGCCAAAAGCCGCTGAACACAAGTGCACGGCGGGGGGTGGAAAGCTGCAGGGGTGGTATATTCCATGGAGAAGTACGGCACGTCCGACAACAGTACGACAGAGCCAAGAGGGATAATGAATGAGACCCACAATCGCGCTGAAGAGTACGGTGTACAACTTTTATTCAACAGAGAAGGTGGATCTCAGAAAAGAAATCAAACTGCCCACGGACAGCCACACGCGCAGCACGCAGACAGGGGAGACAACTATTGAGGTCGACGGCATAGCCACACACGCAGCAAGTAGACAACAGCCAAGATGAAGAAGTGGAAGTTCTGAACGAAGCAGAAGTCGAGACACGTCGCAGGGAGCGCAGGGCAGCAGCGGGCCTGCTGCCGGAGACCATCCACCTCGCACCTGATCCCCACGAGTGCGATGCCGTTTACAAAGTGTGAGCCAGCAGAGTGTGTCTGCAAGAGCCCCATCTATGATTGGACATTGAAGTGACATGGTAGGAGCTGCAAGCCGAGAACATCTGCGGATGAGGGGGGGCGCAGCTAACCGCCGCGAGACACACTCTCTGCAGGGCAGCGACGGGCCAGCTGCCAGTGACCGCCCTCCACGCACCAGATCCCCGCGTGCGCGATGCCACGAGGGGGGTAGCAAGGCTACTGTGGGGAGACGGCCCACCACTGTTTCTTGCGCTTCTTGGGGGCCTGGTTGTTCGGGTGGCCCTTTGCCGCGCGGTGATCACTGCTCACTCCGCCGCTCCGGCCCAGGCGCAGCTGCCGCGGCCGAGCCCAGTCGACGTCGAGGCCCAGCGCGTCGCTGAGGACCCGTACGTCGCACTTGTGGCTGCAGAAGGATTCCAGCAAGAGGTGGCAGGTTTGCGGGTCGCGCCGAAGCGGGTCGAGCGCGCCCTTGCTGCCGGGCACAGACTGCCGCTTGGCGTAAGCGTGCCAGGTGCCAGTGAACATTGGCCCCTGTGTGACTTGGAGTCGTCGCATCGCCTCGCCGGGGGTCTCCCCGGGGAGGTCCCACTAGATGTTGTTGATTCCTGTTTTGTACAACTGTTGCCCCGTGTCGGGGTCCTTGGGCTCTGGCCATTGACGCGGGTCGGGCCTCTGAGGCCGCCGTGTATCCTGGCCGCAAGTCTCCACGGCACCGGCCTCGTTGTCCTGGCCGTGGGGCTCGCGATCTGCTCGCGACCGCTCCAGCTGCGCGCCTGGCAAGGCTCTCTGGGGAAATGCAGGCCGCGTGGTTGGCCGCCAGGCTGGGGTCGGATCGCGTCCGGCGACCAGGGCAGACGCGGCCTTGTGGCAAGTGGGGAAGGGCCCCTTTCGCTGGCGTTCGCCTTCGGGCCTGCGCCCGCCGTCGCTCCCAGGTGCGCCCCCTTTGGACAGCGCAGGACTCTCTCCGGCCTCTGGGGCGCCACTGGTTGGGCCGGGCGCGTGCGCGCTCGGCGGCGCAGCTTCCATGGCCGGGGCGCGAGCTGCTTTGCCAGTGGTGCCCTGGGCGCCTGGCGAGGGCGCCCGGGCTTCGCCGTCCATGAGAGCCTCGCTGACAGGAGAAAGGGGCCAATAGGCGCGAAGAGGCTTCTCCCGACGAGCCAGCGGATGGCTTCGCTGTCCTGCGTCTGGATAGTTGTTCCGTGGTCTCCCTGCTGGGTGCGTGGCGCTCCTGGAGGACTGCTAACGGACTGATTGCTCTGAAGGGGAAATTCCGCGGCTTCCGCGGCCTCCGCCGTCTCCGCCGTGACTTCCCACTCCTTTCCTCTGCCCTGCTGGTGCTGCTGAAGGGGGGTTGTTAGTGTGAGCTGCACACTGACCACTGCAAGCTACCGCCTCTCGATTCCCCAACGGGACGTCATCGTCTGACCACGATGCGGGGGGTGGTATCGTGACGCAGCTCTCTTGAACCTCATCGACGGCGACCTCCTCCGCCTCATCTACCGCCTCTCGATTCCCCTCTGGGGAATCATCATCTGCCATCGAGGCGGGGGGTGGCATGCTGCTGCTGCTATGTTCCGAGATATCGTTGTGATTATCGAGATCTCTCGCGTCAGCGCCAGGCGCCACGATCTGTGCCCAGACAGCGGCAGGCGGAGCGCAGCGAGCCCGCGCGTGATGTCCGCGACCTCCAGGTCGGCCGAAGGCGACTTGGGAAGCTTGCCAGCGATGTCAGGCGCGATGAAGCCCGCGGTCGCCAGCATGCTCACGCGGCCGTTCTTCAGCTCTGCCTGCCACTGGTGAGCGGGATTCTCCGCGCGGTAACTGTCTTCTTGGGTGCCCTCTGGAGTGCCGCTGTCTTGGGCTCCAGCTGCACGACCGCCATCTCGCTCAGCAGCGCCATTGTCTGCTGTCACTGCCAACGCCCGCCCTTCTCGCACCAGCTGTTCAGGATGCGGTAGGCGATGATGTTGGGCTCCAGCTGCAAGACCGCCATCTCGCTCAGCAGCGCCACAGTCTGCAACCACTGCCGACGACTGCTCTTCTCGCACGCGCTGTTCACAACGACGCACGTGGTGATGCTGGGCTCCAGCTTCGCGAACAGGGTCTCGTTCAGCAGCGCTACTGCTTGCTGCCACTGCTAAAGTCCTCCTTTCTCGCACGGCCTGTTCAGGATGCCGTAGGCGATGATGTTGGGCTCCAGCTACGCGACCCGGGTCTCGCTCAGCAGCGCCATAACCTGTTGCCGCTGCCGACTCCTGCTCTTCTCGCACGCGCTGCTCACGGTGCAGTAGGTGATGATAAGGGGCTCCAGCTTCACGACCTGGATCTTGGTCAACAGCGCCGCAACCTGCTGCCACTGCCAACGCCTGCTTTTTCTCGCACGCGCTGTTCACAGTGACGTAGGTGGTGATGATGTTGGGCTCCACCTTCACGGCCGCAATCTCGCCCAGCAGCGCCACAACCTGCTGCCACTGCTGACGCTTGCTCTTCTCGCACGCGCTCTTCACAGTGTCGTAGGTGATGATGTTGGGCTCCAGCTTCGCGGCCACCATCTCGCCCAGCAGCGCCACAACGAGCTGCCACTGCTGCAGCCTGCTCTTCTTGCACGCGCTCTTCGCAGTGCCGTTGGTGATGATGGTGGGCTCCAGCTTCGCGGCCACCATCTCGCCCAGCAGCAGCACTGCCTGCTGCCACTGCCGACGTCTGCTCTTCTCGCACGCGCTGTTCACCGTGCCAGAGTTGATGGACACGGGCTTCAGCTTCACGACAGGGGTCTCGATTGGCGGCGCCACAACCTGTTGCCGCTGCCAACGCCTGCTCCTCTCGCACACGCTGTTCACAGTGCCGCACGTGATGGTGTTGGGCTCCAGCTTCACGACCAGGGTCTCGCCCATCAGCGCCACGGCCAGCTGTCACTGCCCAGGCCTGCCCTTCTCGCACCAGCTGTTCAGGATGACGTGGGTGATGATGTTGGGCGCCAGCCTCACGATCAGCGGCCGCCGCCAGCGGCGGCGGCGGCAGCGGCGGGCGCGGGCGCATCGGCGGGCGCGGCGGCACCCGCGGCCGCGGCGGCCACAGCGGCGGCCGCCGCACCCGCGGCGGCCGCGGCCGCCGCGGCAGGCCCCAGCGCAACAGCGCGCGCCACAGCGCCGGCGGCCGCGGTCGCCGCGGCCAGCCGCCGCCACGGCGGCGGCGGCGGCCGCGGCGGCGGCACCGGCCACGCCGAGGCGGGGGCCACGCCGGGGGCGGCGGCGGCAGGCCGGCCGGGCCGGCCGCGGCGGCGGCGCAGCGGGCGGCGGCGCGCCGCTGCCGCCGCCGCCGCGCCGAGCGCGACTCCATGGCCGAGCGAGCGGGGTCGCGGAGGGGGGCGACCACCTCGCGGGACCGAGGGGCGGAGGCCCGGCCAGCCGCTGAGGCCCGCTTGAGCCAGAGCGGCTTGAGCCAGGCTGCGGACCGGTGTGGATACGCGAAGCGTCAAGGATTATTATGATTCGCGGTGCCGAAGTCCAGAGAACGGAGTTCTGACACGATTTCGGGTTGCCAAGGCGCAACAGGCACATTGACTGCCGACGCTGAAGTCCCACGAATGGTGTGTTGATGCGATTGAGGATTATCAGACTGATGGTTCACAATGTAGCGTTCCCAGACATGAAAACAAATTCTTGTAGGGCCATGTGAACAGGGAGCTTGGACGGAGAGTGAATTGCAACATCGTTGACGCGTCTTCGGTTTATACTGGTCTTCCTCCTCCTCCTTCCCATCTTTCCTCTTCGCCCTCAGCCCCCTGAGGATCGGGGAGAGGGAAGAACGAGTTGTCCAGAAATTGTCGCCTGAGTGCAAGAGAACGCCGACAGCATCGCTGCCGAAACCATCCTCACCAATCCTGGATCCAGGATTTGCCTGCACGGATTGGCTGTTGCTGTTCTTACGCGTTTTTGAAGACGACTCTCACCAGCCCTTCAGACATAGGTGTTCGCGGATCAGATCTTCCAGACGAAGTCTTCCGCACGGCCCTCAGACCTGAGAGAGCAGGGGCTCATGCCCCGATGTGGAGCACCAGTTGTGTGCCTCCGAAGCCCGGGCCCGCGAGACGGCCCTACATGTTACAGATCTCGCACTCCGACGTGCAAAACTGCCGCTCATGTTGAGCGTGTACTGCCTTCAGGCCGCACTCCAGCCTGATCTCCGAACGCAGTCCGCTTCAGGATTGCGCTCTGGCCTCGGCGTTGGCCATACTAGATTTCATATGTCGGGATGGGGTCTTGGGCGGGACGCTTCCCGCATCTGGTAAGCACTTGAAGCTCCCAGAGGTATGATTGCAGGTGAAGAAGACGGGCACGCACTGCTTGGCACGAACACCCGAACCAAAGGAGCAGCACATGAAAAGGATCCGTCCTCAACCGCTTACCGTTGCTGCCGTTCCTAAACCTGCTGCCGTTGGTACCAGTGCACGGCCCCCCCCCTCCCCCAAAAGACCTTCCATTGGCACCACAGCGCAGCCGAGGCGCCGCCGATCGGCTGGAGCTCTTCAGGCGATGTGCCGGTCGCCCCAACCTCCGGACTACCACCCTCGAGCCAGAGCGCAGGCAGACAGCGGCTCGGCAACTACGATGGCTCACCTAACGTACCCGGGCCGATCCTGGGCCCCGGGAGGGCGTATGACAACCTCCTGGCTCGGGGCTGAGTGTTTTTGTTGTGTTATGTTTCTCTCTCTCATCGGCTGGAGCTCCTCAGGCGATGTGCCGGTCGCCCCAACCTCCGGACTACCACCCTCGAGCCAGAGCGCAGGCAGACAGCGGCTCGGCAGCTACGATGGCTCACCCAACGTGCCCGGGCCGATCCTGGGCCCCGGGAGGGCGCATGGCAACCTCCTGGCTCGGGACTGGGTGCTTTCGTTGTGTTATGTTTCTCTCTTGCTCTCTCTCTCTTGCTCTCTCTCTCCCTCTCTCTCGCTCGCTATCTCTCTCTCTCACTCTCTCTCTCTCTCTGTCCCTCTGTTGCTCTCTCCCCCTCTCTCTCTTTCTCTCTGGCCCTCTTTCTCTCGTCTCTTTGTTTCTCCGTTCCACTCCATCTCTCTTTGTTTGTTCTCTCTATCTCTCTCTCTTCCTCCCTCGCCCTCTCTCTGTGAGCAATCAAGCGAATGTCCAAGACAAGCCTGCCCATAAATCTGGCGGTGGTTCGCGCTGTCCAATTCCCCATACTGCGGCACACGTCACAGGTAAGAAATGCGTCGGCCCCCTGCGGGAGAGGTCGTGTGGCCAGCCGTCTCACTGGGGCCTCTCCACTTACGCCCCGGGCCCTGTCTGGCTTATGCCATCTGCTGGGGGGCCTGCGGCGCCAAAACTCGCACTTCGGGAGGAGGGTCCCTCAGCTTCCCGGCCACCTTCTGGCCATCGCTCGGACATCCATTCCCTAGGTTTTTCTCGGTTTCGTGCGTGGATTTTTCGCCAAATAATCAAGGATGCTCCTCGATGGTCCTTGCCGAAGGAAAAATACACACGTCCGAGCGATGCCAAGCCTTTGGCTACCCCAGGGGGGGGGGGGCCCGCGGCGCCAGAGCGCGCACCAGGGGATGCCCCGCGGCCTGCTGGCAACCACAGCCAGGAGGGCCCAAGAGGCCTCCAGGACGATTCCGAAAGGCCCCGAAGACCGCCCCAGCAGCCCAAGACGGCCGAAGATGGCCCCAGGATGCCCCCCAAAATGGCGCGGAAAATCAGGGTCGAAAGAGGGGAGCGTTAGCACAGAGGCCCGACAGTGGAGTCACGGGCGCAGGGACAGTCACGGGCGCATGGGGAGGTTGGCGCTGCGTCAGAGCATGTGGTGTTCATTTGGGCCGCCAAGGCGCTCTATTTATTTAGATTTCTGACACGGCCACTGGCGGACGCTGGGGCCAAACAGCCCTCCGGCTACAAACCTTGGCCCCAATCCCCTTGCGTTCGACCCTCATTTGAGCTAGGACCCACATGGGCCAAAGTGTCTGGCGGCGAGACTTCGACCCAAAGGATTGGGGAGTGCCCCCCCAAGGCCCCCGGGAAGCCACCAGAGGCCCCTAACAAGGGCATGGCTTCCCGTCCCCAGGTCGGGAGACCGCCATTGAAAATGCCCCGAGGATTGCAAGAGAAAGCCCGAAAGCTTGGCCCAGCTCGGCCTGCAGGTCTAGACTGCGCAGCTCGTCTGGGAGACGGGAGTGTTCTGAGTGTTCCATCTGTACCCCTCAAACATGCCACTCCCCCACTTAGCCCACCCTGGGCCTTGCCCTGTGCTGCCCCGCCCCGTTCCCTCCCCCCTATCGGACGAAACTCTTCGATTTGGGGCCCCGAAGGATTGCTCGGCGTCTGGATGGCTCCCAGATGGCCGTCAATGCCCCCCCGAGGACGCCAAAGATCCCCGTGACGGCTCAATGAGGCCCCAAGATGGCCCAAGATGGCCTCCGGGCGGCACGAGGGGCCCCAAAGAGGGCTCCAAGAGGACGGACGCCCAGAGCACCCTCAGAAGCAACACCATTCCACGTCCTATAGTTGTTGTTCCGCAAATGTTTGTGGTGTTGCTTTTTTCTGGCTTCCGCCAGTCAACAGGTCACCAGAATCGCTTCAGGACGACCCAAGAAGCTTCCAACACCGCCCCAAGATAACCCAAGAAGGCCCCAAACCGACCCAATCGAAAACGGCCCAAGAGGTCCCCCAGATGGGCTCAAGAGGGGCTCAAGATGGGAAGCTTGAGCTACCTCAACATGGCCTCCAAAGCCCTCAACATGCCCCCAAGACGTCCCCAGGATTCTATCCCTGGAAGGCCTACCAGACGCCTGCAAACAGCCCCAGAGACAAATCAAAAGGCCCCAAGGAAAATCCCGCGAGGCCCCCAAGAGGCCTCCGCGAAGCCTGGGTCCGGTCTCGAAGATATCCCCAACACGCCTTTCCGAGGGAGAGGGAAGAAGAGGGAGAGTGGCAGTGGGAGAACAAGGAGCGAGAAAGCAGGAAGAGGAGGACACGGTTGTGGACAAATTGTATGAATTCAGTCCATCACGTCAGTCACTATTCTCCAATCTTGCCCGCTTGGCAGCCACTGGCAGCTCAGGCCGTGAAGAACGTCTTTGGCGCCTGGCGTCTGAGGGCGCCTTTTGGCAACTTCCCTTTTCCCAATTCCACACGCATTTGCGCCGCACTTTGTGCTTGGCACCCAATAGCTGTCCCAATGAAGCTGCACTATGAGTAGTCCCAGTCGTGCTTGCCAGCAAACGCTCTCACACAAAAAGGTCTGACAGGGACCTGGGCCAAGTGTAAGTCTGAACATGGTGCCGCGAAGAGCTGTGTATTGACTTGTGTTGGCAGGTGTGTCATGGGATGGTTTGTCACTAGCCACACGCCCATATTAACCCAGACTTCCTTCGCTGCCCAAGCATGTCAAAACTTTCGCTGTTTCGCAAACACTCCCGACCGGCCCCGCCCCGCTGCCGCGCTCCCCCCGAGGGCCTATCCCTGCGCAAGGTGGATCCTGACTGTTTAGGGCCCACACGCGGGGATTCGCTCGCATCCCTTGCTGTTTCCTCGGCGTGCGGCATTGCCCGCCCCCTGGCTCCTTCCCAAAGCCTGGTCCAGCCGATCTCAAAGGGGGGGGGGTCCCCCCCGGATGGTGCCAGACGGTGCCGGCGAACTCATCTGCTCCAGAAGTGCCCTCCGACGCGCCAAATTTGCCCCAGGAGGTCCCAAGACGGTCCAGGACGCAAAGATGGCGACAAGACAGCCCAGGAAGCCCCCAAGACGCCCCAAGAGGAGCCCCAAGACGACCCAAAGAGGGCCTCTGGGAGCTCTCCCCCCCAAAGATGAAAAGGCCCCCAAGAAGCCTCCACACGCCGGGCCAAGAAGACACCAAGCATGGGGGGGAGCGAAGAGTCCCACGGAAACAGCCAGGCGCGTGTGCAGCGAACAGCGGCGCAAATCGACGTCAGCCTGAGAGGCGTGCCAGTGCCCCAAGGGGTCGGCGGTTTGGCGCAAGCCGATGAAGCAAGCAGCAACAACTGTTTGGGGGCAGCTTCACGCAAGCCTGGATGCCTCGGCCTGCTCCCACACTTAGGCATCGGCAGGTATCCTGGGATGGGAGCACCTGCTGGGAGAGCTGTGCCTCATCTGCGGCGTGGGCCCCACTCCAACGCCCAAGCGGCTGCGAGATCGCTGATGCCGAGGAGCAGGAGGAGCAGGAGGAGGAGGAGGAGGAGGAGCAGGAGCTGGAGGAGGAGGAGGAGGAGCAGGAGGAGGAGGAGGAGCAGGAGGAGCAGGAGAGGAGGAGGATGAGGAGGAGGAAGAGGAGGACCATGAGGAGGAGGAGGAGGAGGAGGAGGAGGAGGAGGAGGAGGAGCAGGAGGAGGAGGAGGAGGAGCAGGAGGAGCTTGCCCCCTCGACCCCGTGCGGGCACGTCGAACCAGCGGGGGGCCACGGCCGACCCGGGGCCCGGGGAAACTGAGATCCCCCCGCCGTCACACCCTCCTGGAAGGTGTCCTCCTCCTCCTCCTCCTCCTCCTCTTCCTCCTCCTCCTCCTCTTCTCTTCCAGCCAGGATGCGTGCCCTAGCTGTGAGCGAATGAGCCCTGGTCCTCTCTGCGCCAGGGGCGGTGGATGGAGACAAGCGCATAGAGGTGGTACATCGGAGGAGGCACAATGTCGGAATCCTTGGGTGCCAGGAGGAGGAGGAGGAGGAGGAGGAGGAGGAGGAGGAGAAGAAGGTGGAGGAGGTCGTGTGGTCGAGCTGCGATTTCCCAAACAACTTTGCCTGCAGTTTTGCACTGACAGCCGGGCGGTGGACCTCGCAGCTCGCTAACACTGTTACAGGTGCGCGTGATCGTACAAAATTTGAGGTACGGCTCTGTGCGAAGGCGCCCTTGTGGTACGGCTTTATGCGGCGCGGTGCGGTGCTGCACTGCCCACGTCAACCGCCGCGCTGCTCCGTCCACTCACGAATGGGCCCGCCCTCCCTCTTCACTTCACCCTTCCTCCATCCCACTCCCCTTCTCCGTGCACGCAAGGATTGCCTGATGATGTTTCGAACGCGGTCCAACCAACTTGTAGCCTCTGTCAGGCGTTTCATGGCAGCGATGCTTAGGCGACGGAATGATGCGGGATGTAAGTGTGTCAGTGGTGACCCCCGTAGCCTCCTTTACGATGAGGCTTGATAATGGAGGCGGCCACCCAAGGATATGGAACCCTAAGTGGCCGACTTACGACGTAAGCCGAAGTGACTCCAAACTTGCCACTCCGTATTCTTTCCTCTTGATTGGAGGCGGCCCAACCAAGGTGGAGGGCTCGAGAGGTGGAGAAACGGGTGCAGCAGGCACCAGCGGATGCGGCGCATGGGCAGGGCCCGATCACAGGTTGGTGAGAAGTAAAGAGCCAGCTGTGAGGAATTGGCATTTAACGGGAACCAACTTCGATGTTAGCCGCAAGGCCGGGTCGTGCCCAATGGGTGGAGATGTCAATGGAAGAGGGCCCAGGGATACCACGGCTTCAAGATGTGTCAATCCACGTTCTATCCGCCTGACAACTCGCTTCCGATCCGCCATCCGTCACTCAACCCTCGAGGAAGCGCCGATAGTCAGCCGCGTATAGCCAAGCGGTGGCCCACAGACCCACCGCATGCTGATAAACCGCCCGGCTACAGGAATGATTCTGATATTTTTTTTGTTCGAACAGCGCGCTGCTAATGGCTAACCGGTGGGACGGTCCCTCCTCCGGATTTATGATCTGTACAGAACTAAAGGGTGGCTGAAGAAAGGGGCGAGAAAGGGGGGAGACAATGGAAGGAAGTTGCTGCCTTGCCAAAACCTCTGTAGAACAAAAATGGCCTGAAGCCCTGTAGAGTGAACTTACGGGGATCGCTGCACGGCGACACCGCGGGCTAAGGAACGTTTTAAGGGCAAGTCATTGGAGGAAGAACCAGACAACTGTTCGAGATCAAACGTGCACGTCATAACAAAAGGGAATATTGAAACGCACAATCGTCATCACCATCGATGGACGGACACTGGCCCCCTGGAGCCAGTGCGGGTGAGACTGACGACTAAGCACAGTGTTGTCCGTTCGAGCTTCCAAACTAAAACTTGTCGTACGCCTTCAACCTGCGCCATCATTTCCGGCCACGCGCATGTGTACGTACATATAAATATCTATAGATACCAGAACCACACGCGCGCGCTTCGCGCGCTTAGGTTCTAGCTAGGCGAAGGAGGAGAGGAGGGGGGGGGGGCTGACGCCATTCAGGCCCGGGAGGGAGGAGGGGGGGGGGCTGACGCCATTCACGCCCAGAAGGGAGGAGGGGGGGAGGGGGCTGACGCCATTCACGCCCGGGAGGGAAGGAGGGGGAGGGCGGGGGAGCTGACGGCATTGAGGCCCGGGAGAGAGGAGGGGGGGGGTCGCTCTGTCGGGGGGCGGGGGGGGCTGACGCCATTCATCAGGCCGGGAGAAGGGGGGGGGGAGGGAGGGCTGACGCCATTCAGGCCCGGGAGGGAGGAGGGGGGAATGGGCTTCGGGAAGGAGGGGGGGGGGGGGGGGGGGGGCTGACGCCATGCACGCCCGGAGGGAGGAGGAGGGGGAGGGCTGACGCCATCCAGGCCCGGGAGGAAGGGGGTGGGGGAGGGGGCTGACGCCATTCAGGCCCGGGAGGGAGGATGTCCAGGGGGGTGGAGGGGGGGGGGGGGGCTGACGCAATGCTGACGCCATTAAGGCCCGGGAGGAGGCTTCGCTCTGTCGGGGGAGGGGGGGGGGTGCTGACGCACTGACGCCATTCAGGCCCAGGACGGGGGGGGGGGGCGTATTCAGGCCTGGAGGAGGGAGTCGGGAGGGGGGGGGAGCTGACGCCATTGCTGACGCCATTCAGACCCGGGAGGGGGGAGGGGGGGGGAGCTCGCTCAAGCTTCGCTCTGTCGGGGGGGGAGGCGGCTGACGCCATGGCTGACCATTCAGGCCCAGGAGGGGGGAGGGGGGGGGGTGACGCCATGGCTGACGCCATTCAGGCCCGCGAGGGAGGAGTCGGGGAGAGGGGGGGGGAGGGCTGACGCCATGGCTGACGCCATTCAGGCCCGGGAGGGGGGAGGGACGGGGGAGCTCGTTCAAGCTTCACTCTGTCGGGGGGGGGGGGGGGGCTGACGCCATGGCTGACGCCAAGGCTCGGGAGGGGGGGGGGGGGGGGGGCCGACGCCATGGCTGACGCCATTCACGCCCAGGACGGGGGGGCGGGGGCTGACGCCATGGCTGACGCCATTCAGGCCCGGAAGGTGGGAGGGGACATCCCATGAGCCTGGCTGTTCACGCGAGATCGTCACTTTCGAATATCCGAAGGTTGCCCAAGCGAGTTCAACCTCTCTATCTTGTGAGGGTGTCTCGAGCGAGTGCTCTACATTTAAACATAAACGGACATCCGTTGCAAGCAGATCGGTAGCACCCCGGATCGGCGGCACTGGCCGGAGGCTACTACAATCTATCTATCTATATATATATATATATACACACCAGAACCACACGCGCGCGCTTCGCGCGCGCTGAGGTTCTAGCTAGGCGCAAGCACAACATTTGCTGTGAAACCATGGGGATGTACGTCAGTACAGGAGAATCGAGGGTTTACTGAAGATTCACTGAGGACGGAAAACCACCAGGAATGAGGACACACAAGTACAACCAGAGGAGTGAGAGAACGAACATCATATGACAAACCTTCGGAACAACAAGGAGATCTGCCTCGCGGCAGCCTCTTGGGGGCACCCCCCCGGGAGAGAAGGAGAAGCGAAGGTCTCGAGCAGCTGCTGACCTGGCTCGCGTCTTGAAGGCTTGAAGGACGATGGACGAGAGGGGGAGACGGGCAGGGAGGATAGCGAATGGAGGCGGAGGAGGAGGAGGAGGAGGAGATGGGAGGGAGAGGAGGAGGAAGAAGAGGTGGAGGAGAGGGGGGGAGGAGGAGGAGGAGGAGGAGGAGGAGGAGGAGGAGGAGGAGGAGGAGGAGGGAGGAGGAGGAGGGAGGAGGAGGGAGGAGGAGAGGAGGGGGAGGAGGAGGAGGAGGAGGAGGAGAGGAGGAGGAGGAGGAGGAGGAGGAGGAGGAGGAGGGGAGGAGGAGGAGGAGGAGGAGGAGGAGGAGGAGGAGCAGGAGGAGGCAGGCCAGCGTCCATGGAGCGCCTTACGACGGCCCCACCGCGGGCGCCGCGGGATCACCCCAGCACGCTGGGCGCATGTCGCGCCTGGCGGGAGGACACGCGGCGAATCGCTGGGGGGGGAGCCCTGCCAGAGAGTAGGGAGAGGCAGGGCAGTGGGCAGAGGGTTGGGTAGGGCATGGGCTGGGAATGATCAGGGGCAGGGGAAGGGCAACGGCAGGATCGGACTTGGGTGCTCCTTCGGAGTACTGTTCTCATGACATCCAGATGATTACGATGTATATTATCATCCGTCTCTTCTTACCAATACAAATACTACTGTCAGTATCCCCCCTATCGTTATGATTAGTATTATTGTGCGTCGCATTCGAATTATCAGTCTGATGCGCCTTGTTACCTTATTACGTTGTTGCCCCTTTCTTTCTGTGTACATCTACACAATTCCCTCTCATACAGACTAATTGATCCGAAACCCTGCGACCCCCCCCCCCGAAACGGGACACCCACGAATCCCTGGTGCTGGGGGCCTGGACGCCACTGCAGAGGGTCTCCCGGGACTTGCGGGCCTCCTGAAGCCCCTGCCAGGACTAGCCAGCGAAGCCTAAGCTGTCAGGAGGGCGCCCAAGCAGCCCTCGAGAGCCCCAAGCGGCGCCACGGACCCGAACACGGCTCACATCATACCCCTAAGAGTCCCTCGAAACCACATACATATATGTGTGTATATATGTATGTGTATATATCTCTATATACACATGTTCAGTATGTGTTTGTACAATTCTCGTATGCTCGGCTCTTCGGACTTCTGGGCGCCCGAGACGGCCCGCAAGGCCTCCAGGATCGCCCCAAGACTGGCCAAAAAGGCATCAGGACGATCCAAGACAGCCCCAATACAGCCCAACAAGCCTCAAGATGGCCCGACGGAAACCCCAAGACGGCCCAAGAATGCCCCAAGACAGACACCACATCACCACGAATCTGGACCCAGCCTTCGAAGAAAACTGCGAAGAGCAGCATGATATAGATCCCTCGCTCTCTCCCTCTGTCATTATCTCTCTCTCTTTCTCTCTGTTCCGTTTTTTCCCCTCTCTCTCAAGCGGAATAGCTTCGGTGTGTGGTTTTATCTATATCTACATACATATATATATATATATATATATATATATAAAAGTATATGAATATGTGTGTGCCTCTGTCTCCCCCTCTCGTTCTCTATCTCTCTCTATATATACTAATGTATACATATACACAATTGTGTGTATATATATAAGTCCATGTATCTCTCTTCCTCTCTCTCTCTATATATCACTCTCACTCTCTCTCGCTCTCTCTCTCTCTCTCTCTTTCTACATATAAATGATGATACCGGAGAAAAACCCAAATCAGAATTTGTTTGGGGCTATAGGACTATAGGGCTATAGGGCTATTGGGCTATTAGGGCTATAAGGCTATTATAGGGCTATAGGGCTATAGGGCGATAAGTATATAGGTCTATAAGGCTATAGGGCTACAGGGCACCTGGCACCCGGGCACCCGGCACCCGCCCGGGCACCCGCCCGGGCACAGGGCACCCGTCACCCGGGCATCTGGGCACCCGGGCACCCGGGCACCCGGGCACCCGTCACCCGAATCGGCGGCGAACCCGGGCACCCGGGCACCCGGGCACCCGGGCACCGCCGGGCACCCGGGCACCCGGCCCCGGCCACCGAAATCGGCCGCCGACCTCACCTCAGCTTTATATCCGCTAGGACTCCTACAGAGGCAAGCTCTGATTGGGGAATTATATGTAGATAGCTCTCTATCTCTCATCCAGCCCATGCAAAACTTGAGGGGCCAAGGTGCATGGCACGACGCGACAATGAAGTCTTGTGAGCATGTATGCATACATGCATGCAGGCAGACAGACAGGCATATATACATGCATGCAGGCATACATGCATGCATACAAGCATAGATAGATAGATGCATGCCTACAGGCATGCATACATACATACACACACACATATTGACACACATGTTTGCATACATAAGTGCCTGCATGCATGTACACAAAGATGCGTACATACACACATACATACATACATACACACCCACAGACACGCATAACTGCATCGTTGCATACATGCATACATGAACACATGCATACATGCATGCATGAATACATGCAACAATGCATCAGTACATGCATGCCTACGTGCATACATACATGCATACATACATACATACATGTATGCATGCTAACACGCATGCATACATACATGATCATGCACCTACACGCGTGCGTGCATACACACGCCTGCATGTATGCCAGCATACATACATGCATACATGCATGCATGCATGCATACATGCATGCATGCACACATGCAGACATGAATACATGCATACACACATACACATATACACAAACACACACTTACACACACGTATAAACATGCATTCACACATACATACACACATACACATACATACATACATACATACATACATACATACATACATGCATGCATGCATGCATGCATGCATACATACATACATACATACATACACACACATAAAGACATACTTACATACACACATACATGCGTACATGCATCCACACATAAAACATACCCACCTACATGCACCCACGTATATGCATACACAAACATACATACATGCCTGCATGCATACATACATACAGCCATGCATACATCCATGCACGCATGAAATGCATACATGCATGCATGCATGCATGCATGCTTGCATGCATGAATACATTCATACATACATACATGTGTACATACACTCAGGCATGCGTGCATATATACATACGTACATGCAATACAGGCAAACGTACACATGCATATAGACCAGAACCACACGCGCGCTAAGCGCGCGCGGTAAGGTTCTAAACGAACCCGACGATATTATTAGGTGGCACGGGTCCGATCCCGTGGAATCTGACCAAACACACTCGATCATCACATCGCCCAAACTCTCTAACACCCCAGCCCGAACATCCGAGCTCTAACGCCCCAGCGCCCGAACACTGTAGTCGGAGCCCTAACTCCCACGCCCTTGCAAACAAACCTTGACACCTTGATCCTAGCAACTAAGGCCGACTACCCAACCGGGAAATCCGACCATAAACACCCAACCCCAGCACCCCTACTGCCCTACTGGTTCACCGGCACTCCGATCGAGAACCCGATCGACCGATCCAGCCCTGGCCGATCGGCGGATCGGCGACCTGATCGACCTGCGATCGACAGACCACGGTCCTTAGACCAGAGGGCAGGGGATAGTGAGCGCCGCGCTCTGCGCAGGCCAGCCAGGCCGCCCCCTTCCACCAAGCCCCCCTGAGCTCCCTGCCCTTCCTGTTCCATATCGGCAGGTGAGTGGGAGCGTGTGGGTCGCACAGAGGCATACTAACACTATGTGTCCGCCTTGGAGGCGCGCGTCCGACCCGAACATATAGTGCACCCATCTTGTAGTATATCGTTTCCCGAGCGGTGTGGCCAGAAAGCGCCCGCCACGACGCATACACTATAAGATTTCTCGGTGCGCGCGTCGCCCATGTGGGCGACGCACACATAGTAGAAGAATGTTGTGGTGACGCCGAGCGTGGGTCACACCTGAGGTAGAACAGCACGTAGGCCCCCTTCTGCTGGGCCGCCACCTCTTCGTCCGCCACTTCGGTGACGTCCTCGCCGCGGGAGCCGCGTGGCCGCCGGAAGCGGCCAGGGCGGCCCAGCGGCAGACTGAGGCCACCCGAAAAGCAGACCAAAACGACGCCAGAGGAGCAGGAGGAGGAGGAGGAGGAGGAGTAGGAGGTGGAGGAGGAAGAAACAGCTGGACGAAACCCTTCCATGGCAGAGCGACGACTCCCATGTAAGGTCTGCGCGCGCAGCTCTCGTGTACAGCGCTCTTGCCCCGCACTATGCTCGCACGGCCGTTGGGAGCTTCTAGTGGCTCCTGGAGCGACTACAAACTCACAGCGGCCGTGCGGAGCCATTCGAACAAGAGCCACTCAAAAACTCCTCACAAACAATGCCTAGCTGTTGCCATGAATGGCTACAATGTCCTCACCAATTCACAACTCGCGGACATGGAGCCGCCATGTCCGAACAGCACTCGAACACGACATGTCTGCTGCGCGCTTGTGCGAACGCGGCCCCGCGCCACGTTCGCGCACCTCGAGGTCCGCCACCGCGCCAGCACAGCGCGGAGTGCTCGAGTGCTTGGAGGTCCCTAGTGAGGCTTTTGCGAAAAGTTTCTGAGGCCTGCCCCCGCCCTCATGCGAGCGTTACTTTGTGATCCGGCGTTTCGACTTTGGGCGGAAGAGGGGGGGGAGGGAGGGGGGGGGTCTGGCTCTGGGCCTCTGCTCAGTGCGACTGTCTGCAGCAGTGCGGCAAATGGGGGAGGCTCCGCCTGCCCGAAGCAGGCGCCCAGAAGCAGCCCAGACCTACCCGGGGGGGAAGGGGGGGAGCGAGGCCCCGCGCCGATCGGCAGAGCAAGGAATGAAACGACGATCTCACCATGCCCAGGGAAGCGTCCGCCCGTGGTTTGCTCCACGGCGCCCTTTTCGGTGACGACTCCAGGGGATCCTCCTCCTCCTCCTCTCGATCCTCCTCCTCGCTCCTCCTCTCTCCTCTCTCGCCTCCTCCTCCTCCTCCTCCTCCTCCTCCCCTCCTCCTCCCTCCTCCTCCTCCTCCTCCTCCCTCTCTCCTCCTCCTCCTCCTCCTCTCCTCCTCCTCCTCCTCCTCTCCTCCTCCTCTCCTCCTCCTCCTCCTCCTCCTCCTCCTCCTCGTCGGCCCAAAGATGGTCCCACAACGACAGCAAGAAACCTACAGCCCATCCGAAGACGGCCCAGCGAGCCCCCAAACAAAAACTAAAGATCTGCCCAAGACGCCCCAGAAAGCCCCAGGAAGCTCCCAAGGGGGCACCCGAAGAGGCACCCAGGGAAGCCTCCAGCGCCGCCCCTAGCAGCGAGAAGAACATCGAGATGCATGTGCAGCAACAATGCATCACCGTCTCGAATCTCCTCGGGGAAACTCCAGAAAGCCCCGAGAAGCCCCCTAGACGATCCAACAGTGCCCCAGAGAGCCTCGAGGGCCTCCCAAGACAGTCAAAGGCCGCCCTAAGAGGGCTATAAGACGGATCCAAGATCCGCCCAAACGTTCCAAAGTTCGGTCGCCCAAGTCTCTTCGGGAGAGTTCCGCAATAGCGCCATCGCGCCCAACAAAATCCCGAGACCCCCAAAGAGTTCCCGACATCATCCCCAAGCGCCCCCGCAAAAACCGCATGAAAAGGTTCCAACATGAAGTATAGACGGGATGGGCGAGGCTGCGGACCAGCAGAAAATGATTAAAAGCCCCGCTGTTAGAAAGAGCGCTGACCGGGAGCGGATCCTAAGCTCTACCTTCGACCTGCTGCGCTGCTGCGCCGCTGCGCTGGCGATGTGCGATGAATGAGCAGAGGGTTCCAGTCTTGAGTTCTAGCCTTGAGCTTGAGCTTCTGAATGCCGCTGCTTCGCTGCTGAAGCTTCAGCTTATGATTATGACTCCGCGTGAACCACGACGGTGGTGGCAAAACAATATGTGTGTTGCTTCGGTTTGTTCCCCACCCGACAACCAAGGGATGTTAGATTGTAAACACCTCCCGGACCTCCCATCCTGCACACCGCGGCTGCCAGATCCCCAGGTCCACCGAGAGCCCCCCGATACCCCGCCCCGCCAGACCCGACCCGTCCACTCTGCATACCGCGGCTGCTCGATCCCCAGGTCGACCGAGAGTCCCCCGAGAACCCCGCCCGTCCAGCGGGGAAGCGCCTGGGAGCGCGCCTGGGAGCGCGCCTGGGAGCGCGCCTATGGGGCTCTTGGGGGTGCGCAGCGCGCCGGGGAGCGCCTGGGAGCGCGCCTGGGGTTGCCAGAAAGCGCCTGGGGGGACCGCCTGGGGCCTGGGAGCGCGGGGGGGGCACGCGGGAGCGCCTGGGAACGCCAGGGAGCGCCTGGGGGTGCACCTGCGTGCGCCTGGTCGCGCCGGGGAGCACCTGCAAGCCTCGGGTATCCTCAAGGTTCCTCGGGTTGCCTGCGGGTTCCTAAGAATTCCCCAGGGGCCCCCAAGAGTATTTTCGATTCCACAAAAAGTTTCACCGGATTTCTCCGCGTGCCCACGGGTTCCTCCAGATTCCTCAGGGACCCACAGACTTCCTCAGGATTCACAAGGAATCCTCATGAGCCTTTAGGACCCACAAGGATCCAGAAGATTCCGTCGGCAAACGGAGTGCGGTCAACCCTACTTGGAGTAGTGGCAGTTGTATTACCAGTAGCAGTAGCAGTAGTAGAAATAGTAGCAATACCAGTAGCAGTGGCAGTAGTAGTGATAGTAATAGTAACAGTAGTAGTAGTAGTAGTAGTAGTAGTAGTAGTAGTAGTAGTAGTAGTAGTAGTAGTAGTAGTAGTAGCCGTCGTCGTCGTCGTAGTAGTAGTCATATTAGTAGGTGGTAGTAGTAGTAGTAGTAGTAGTAGTAGTAGTAAAAAGAGTAGTAGTAGTAGTAGTAGTAGTAGTAGTAGTAGTAGTAGTAGTAGTAGTAGTAGTAGTAGTAGTAGTAGTAGTCGTCGTGGTAACCGTCGTAGTAGTAGTTGTAGCAGTAGTAGTAGTAGCAGTAGTAGTAGTAGTAGTAGTCGTAGTAGTAGTAGTAGTAGTAGTAGTAGTAATTACAGTAGAAGGATGGGTCGTAATAGTGATAGTAATAATAACAAAACTAGTGACAGCGACCGTAGCAGTAACAGTAGTAGCAGTAAAACTAACAGTTGGCGTTGTTGCTGTTCTAGTTCTAGCTTTAGCTGTAGTATTCGTAGTAGACCACAACATTAGTACGAGAAGCGATAGCAATAATAACAGTAAAAATAATAGTAGCAACAGCAGCAATCGCAGTAGTAGTCCTAGTCGTAGAAGTAGTAGCAGCACTCGTAGTATTAGCCGCAGTAGTTAGTGATAGTAAGTGGCAGTGATGATGGTCGTCGTAGGAGAAGAACTAGTTTTAGTAGTAAGGGTAGCAGTACTAGGAGCCGTGGTCGTAGTAGTAGTAGTAGTAGTAGTAGTCGTCGAAGTACTAGAAGCAGCCGTAGTCGCAGCAGCAGTAGCACAAGTAGTTGTAGCAGTGTAGTAGTCGTCGTCGTAGGAATAGGGTAAGCATGGTAACAGTACTAGTAGTAACAGTAGCAGTAGAACTAGTAATCCCAGTATTCGCAATAGTAGTAGTAGTAGTAGTAGTAGGTGTTGTTGTTCAAAGTCTAGTTTTAGCTGTAGCCTTCGTAATACAAACATCACTGTAGCACGAAAGAAATTATTACTGAAAACAATAGTAGCAATAGTAGCAACAGCAACAGTAGCAGTAGCAGTCCTAACCATAGAGGTAGTAGAAGTAGTAATAGCAATCGTAATACTAGATTACTCAAAAAAGTAGTAGTCGCAGTCGTAGTAGCCGTAGTAGTAGTCATAGTAGTAGGTGTTGTTACCGCAGTCGTAGTAGGAACAGTGGTAGCAGTTAGTAGTAGCAGTAGTAGTAATAGTCGTAGTAGTAGTAGTAGTTCAAACAAAAAGTAAAAGCAGCATCAGCAGTAGCAGTATAAATAAGACTAGTAGCAGCAGTAATAGCAGCCGCAGTTGTAGTAGTAGCGTAGTAGTAGTAGTAGTAGTAGTAGTAGTAGTAGTAGTAGTAGTAATAAGTGACAATAATGATGGTAGTAGAAATAGGAGTAGAAGTAGTAGTAGTAGTGGTAGTAATAGTAATAAGAGTCGTAGTAGTAGTAGTAGTAGTAGTAGTAGTAGTAGTAGTAGTAGTAGATAGTAGTAGTAGTAGTAGTAGTAGTAGTAGTAGTAGTAGTAGTAGTAGTAGTAGTAGTAGTAGTAGTAGTAGTAGTGTGAGTAAGAGTAAGAGTAAGAGTAAGAGTAGTAGTAATAGTAATCGAAGTGCTCGCAGTAGCCGTAGTCGTAGTAGCAGTGGTATCAGTAGTTGTAGTAGTGTAGTCGTAGTAGTAATAGTCTTCGTCGTAGGTAGTTGTAGGGTAGAAATGGTTATACAACTAGCAGTAGTAGTAGTAGTAGTAGTAGTAGTAGTAGCAGGAGGTGGCATACGCAGTGGGAGTAGCACAAGGGTTCGAACAAGTAAGCGTGCGCAATCGATGGCGGCGACAGCGGCGGCAGAGGTCCCAAAGCGGGGGAGGTCCCGCCGGGCCCCAAATCGTCAATGAGCCAGCGGAAAAAAAGTTCCCAGTACAGAAAAAAAAGGCCTTTTATTGAAGACCCTTCGCGGCTATGTGTTAGCAGCCCTCTGTTGCTATGTCTTTTGTTTGTTTCTCTCCCTCTCTTTCTCTCTCTTTTTCTCTCTTTCTCTATACCTCTCTCTACAGATATATGGTATCCAGCGTGGACCCCAAACATTTTCTTTCCAACAATCTAGGTTGTGAGTTCTGCATGGGGCTATATATGTAGTACAAGCTACGTATTGCAATACATTGTGCAATCTATGTTGTGCAATCCCTGGTGTTCAATACATATATATATATGTATGGTGCATTCCCTGGTGTGCTATCTGTGTGGTGCAATCTGTGTTTCGGCAATATGTTTGGGCAATTCTAGGTTGTGTAGTGTGAGCAATACACGTCGTGGAATCCATGTGGTGCAATCTATGTTATGCAA